TCTTTCTTTCTCTCTCTCTCTCTTCGTGGATACCGGATGGGACACACTCCTCTTCTTCGTTTGTTCCTCAGCGTTCACCCTGTACCCAATGCTGCAGTGTGTGTAGTACTTTTGGCGCCATCGTCAGCAGCAGCAGTCCTTGCCCATTCGTTGTAGGAGAGATTCTCTTCAGCGCCTGCAAACACACACATTGCAGCATTCTCTCCCTTTCTTGCTCTCGCTCTTTCTCTATCTCTTTCGCCGTCGTCACTTTTTTTCTCGCGTCACTGCAGCAGCAGCAGCAGCGCTCCTGCCACGCTGCTGTCCGCACGCGGCCACTAGCAGTGACTGACTGGCTCCGCCCTGCGCGGAGGCGCGCCCGGCGCACTGCTAGACGCACAGGCAAGGGTGGTGGGTGGCGCGAGTGCGTCGTACCGAGGCTGCGCAGTCTGCCCAGTATAAAAGGCGAGCCGTCTGATTCTCGAGGAGCAGAATGAACAGCCGTCTCATCAGCGGCCGAACGCGAGCTTCAGATGGTGGCCGATTCAAACGACATCGAAGCGCTACTCGAGGATGACATCAAGCTGGTCGCGCAGAAGTTGGTCAACATGGTCGCCGCCGCCAATCACACCGCCACTGACCACCGTAGTAGTAGCCGCGACGAGACCGACGTGCCAATGTGTGACGACCGAACCGCCGCAGTGCCCTCAGACGCCTCTTCCTCCTACGCCATCTCTTCCACCTCCTCCTCATCCACCGCCACCATCCTCAAACACACCTCCTCTTCCTCATTATCACCACCACAACCTCCCGACACCGCCATCCTCACCAGCACCACCATCAATAATGTTAAAAATAATAACAACAACAGCAACCACGACCATCACGGCCATACCAACGGCGTCATCGGCGATGAGTCCTCCTCTCCTTCCTCTACGCCCAACAACAGCGTCAACAATGTTGGCAAGACCAACGGCTGCGACGCCGGTGATGACACCCATCTCAGCAATGACAACAACGGTGACACCTCTGCCGCCGACACCACCACCATCAACAGCAACGGGGGCAACCACGAAGGAGAGCCATCACCTGAAGAGCCATCTGCAATGGAAGTCAGCGAAGATGACGGTCCCTGGAAAGATATCCAAATCGATCCCACCGGCGAGACACCTCTTCCTAATGGGCTAGTTGCCATCTGCGGCGTCGTCCAGCCGCCCTTCTACCGTGAGCAAGACAGTGACCGGCCGTTCAGGTTCACAAACCAGCTCAGCTTTCTCAAAAGCATTCTGACCAAGTACATCTGTCGCTACAAGGCCGCAAAGCCTTTCATCGTGCCCGTCGATAGTGTGAAGTTTAAAATTCCTCATTACTACCTAGTGATTCGGCAGCCAATGGACCTGGGGACTGTTAAAAACCGTATTAACTTCCTCTGGTACGACAATGCGGCAGAGTGCATCGCCGACCTTAGGCTCATCTTCTCCAACTGCTATCGCTTCAATCCTCCCCAAGATTCAGTCTACAAAGCAGGCAAGAAGCTGGAAGAGTACCTGGACGACAAGCTGAAGGAGATGCCAGCGGAGGAAGAGGAGATTCCCTGTCCACCTCGACCCAGCTACGATGAGTGTACGTGTTCTTGTGCTTCTATTTCTGTTTCTACTTTGCTCTGTTTCTACTTGTGAACACGTGAATCTAATGATTTCTTTTTCATTACGTTTCTAGATCAAAAGTTAATCAAGCAATCACCTGAAACGCCCCGAACGGGCTCGATCTCGGAACATAGTGAGAATGGCGACTTTTGGCCGTATGGTCCCATCAAAATGACCACCCGCAGCGAGCGCGGCGTGATGGTGCGAAAGCCAAGCAAAGACCTTCCAGAGCCCATCACCACGCCTCAGCCAAGACCGCCGACGGTGAAGAAGGTCCCTCTGAACCAGCCAATGAGAACCTGTCTGGAGTTTGTCAAAGACCTCTTCGGGAAGAAGCACGCCGAGTACGCTTGGCCCTTCTGGCAGCCAGTCAATCCAGTCGAGTACCCCGACTACGCGCAAAAGATCAAACGCCCGATGGATCTGAGCACCATCAAGGTATGTGTGTGTGTGGTGATGCGTCGCCATCTAAAGCTGACTCAGCGCGCCTAACACTCCCTGTTTTCCATTTTATACTTCTCCCACTTTAGACCAAACTCGAGTCTGGGCAGTACATCACACTGAACGATTATGCCAACGATATGAGGCTGATGTTTTCCAACTGTTTACGCTACAACACACCGGAGTCTGCGATCATCGAGCAGGCACGAAAGCTCAGGGTATGTAGTGCTCAGATGGAAAGAGAGATCACGCCGTTTTCGCCC